TTATGCCAGAAAAAAAAAAAAAAAGGAAAAATGGAAAAAAGAAAGAAAAAAAGATGAAAAAAAGGAATAAAGAAAAAAAAGAAAGAAAAAAAAGGAAAATGGAAAAAGAAAGAAAAGATGAAAAAAAGAATAAAGGCAGAAAAAAAAAAAAAAAGGAAAATGGAAAAAGAAAGAAAAGATGGAAAAAAGAATTATGCCAGAAAAAAAAAAAGGAAAATGGAAAAAGAAAGAAAAGATGGAAAAAAAGAATAAAGCCAGAAAGAAAAAAAAAAATGGAAAAAAAAAAAGAAAAGATGAAAAAAAGAATAAAAGGCAGAAAGAAAACAAAAAATGGAAAAAGAAAGAAAAAATGAAAAAAAGAATAAAGCCAGTAAAAAAAAACAAAAGGAAAATGGAAAAAGAAAGAAAAGATGGAAAAAAAGAATATGCCAGAAAGAAAACAAAAGGAAAATGGAAAAAAGAAAGAAAAGATGAAAAAAAAGAAAAAAGCCAGAAATGAAAAGATGAATAAAGCCAGAAAGAAAAAAAAAGAAAATGGAAAAAAGAAAGAAAAGATGGAAAAAAGAATAAAGCCAGAAAGAAAACAAAAGGAAAATGGAAAAAGAAAGAAAAGATGAAAAGAAGAATAAAGCCAGAAAGAAAACAAAAGGAAAAAGATAGAAAAGATGAAAAAAAGAATAAAGCCAGAAAGAAAACAAAAGGAAAATGGAAAAAGAAAGAAAAGATGAAAAAAGTATAAAGCAAGAAAGAAAACAAAAGAAAAATGAGATCAGAAAGAAAAAATGATAAAACTCCGATAAAATAGAAAGAAAATGGTGAACAGTAAAAGCAACAGAATAAGAAAAGAAAGAAGAGAAAAAACAAAACAAGAAGAGAAAGAAAAATATGAAAATGCTTAAAAATAGAGAAAACAAAGAAGGAACAGAAACTAACAATAGAAATTAATAAAAGGCCATGAAGTAAATTTATTAAAAGGAAATATAAAAATGTTTTTTGTCAAACGATATTTCTGTTAATAAAATATCTTTGTCTTGTAGTAAATCTTTCCATTGTTAATGAAGTCATTTTCATCAAATGTTTCAGTCAGTACATTTCATTAAAAATGTAGAAAAACAGAAGAGTGACATATAAAATCTTTCTGCTTCCTAATTGCTGAATTATCAGCAATAATTAATATTGAATGATTGCAAAGAGAAGTAGTTTTTTACTCATTTATGCATAAATAATGTAATAGACATTATTGTCTTCATTATCATCTGTTCAACTATTCAACCATTGATAACCAAATAAATACTGCATTATAAAAATGATCACAAAAGTATTTCCTCATGCTAGAATGATTCATAATAATTCCTTCATTTGTTGAATTATTTAGACAATTAACAATCACTGAATGCAATAATTATTATTCCTATTACTTTTATTCATTTTTCTTATTGTTTTTCTTTTACCTAATTCTAATATAATTACCTTCAACAGTAAATTTTGTGAAATAATCTATCACAAATATTTGTGTAATTGACATCTACTGGCCTGAGCATAATAAAGAAAAAGTGCTTTCCTTTATTAAAATGGGAAGCAAGTGAACTATGACAGTGAATATTATTATTATTGTAGGTAAAGAATTGTTAACTTAATGATGTTAGAGAGTAGTATAAATTTGTATATATTTTTTGATTGATTTGTTTTCTATGGTTTATTAACTCTTTTCAGGTTATTTAAAGCCAGAAAATATTTTTAGATTGTAAGAATTTTTTTTTTAGATAATAATGGTTTAGTGATACAAGTCTTACTAATTAACCCATAATTGGTGGAGGTATAAGAGGTGGACTCATACTTGTCACAAGGATATTTGTGCGTAAGTAAATATAACAAACCCAACATAAATTGGAACATGGCTCTCCAATTGACAATTCTGAGCCATTATTGATTACACCACTTACACATCCAAGCTTACAGCACCTGATATTCCCAAGTGGTCACTCGTCTAGGTAGTGACAAGGCTTGATGTTGCTTAACTTTGGTGATCGTATGGAACTGGTGTTTCAATGTCATGTGGCCATAAGCCTGTATATATATTTTATTTTACTTTATGTGTATATACATATTTAATGTTTATCTTGTGAATGTCAAACTTTTGGAATAAAGTGTTTGTTATTTGGAATAAATTGTCAAAACATTATTTAAATTTTGAATCTTAGTTTTATATATCAATTTTGTATCTTTTTATTTGTACCCTCTCATATCTTTATGCAATAACCCACATTCATAATTATGATTGCTATTGCAATATCCTGTGAAAGTTAAGCTTAAATATTTACCAATGCAATAGTGGAATTTTCTGGAGTACTTTATAGGAATGTATTAGTACATTAAAGTAAGAATTATAACTCAAAATATTAAAAATATAGGTAAACTGAAATTTTTACAGGTTCCACTAGTTAATAATTAACAATGCTTTATCAAAGAGATTTGGATATATTTTTTTTTAATCTATTCACTCCAAACAAGGTGAGAACACCACTAAGATGCAAGGAGCTACTGGGAGAGAAAGAGAATGAAAAGACATTAGAAGGAACAGGAAACTCAGTCCTAAACAGGGATCAAAGAACAAACTTCTACTCCTGTTCAAAAAACCAGGCAAGAATGTGAATCAGGTGATAGGCAACACTATCTACTCCTAACATATACTAAGCTTAGCCTGTTAGAATACAAAGTTGGATGGAAAGCAAAAGGCTTGAAAAGAGTGTATTTTGATATTCTTCCAAAGTCTTGCTTGACTTAGAAATCATTTAAAATATTGCTTTTTTTTGTTGGGCCTGAATCCTGCTTGCTGGTGCCAGCAGAGTAAATATCTCCTATGAAGCAAGCTAAGATTTATATGACAGAATATATTTTCTGTCTCTTGCATGAGAAAATGTTTTACAAGATAATGAGACCAAAGGAGGTGACCTTTTGAAAGTAGGTGAAATTTTTTAGGTTAAAAAAGAGAAGAGCAAATATGTAACATCCCGATGGTTACTTCATAGACACGATGATATTTCAAAAGTAGAGTATGAAAAACACACTCATATTCAAAGTCAGTCTGGAAATACAGGTTTTTATAATAATTTATTATAATAAGGTTTTTAAGTTTCAAAGAAATAATTCCAGTAAATAAAGAAGAAAAATATAAAAGTTTAAAAAGTAAATCTAAAAAATGTACTTATAGATAATCAATATTATTTGAATGAAGTTTGTTTTTTTTAATCATTTTGCCCCAAGCAAGGTAATAAAGCCACTAAGACACAAGGGGTTACTGAATGTGAAAGAATATAAGAACATTAAGGAGACAGAACAATAAAAGAACAGGAATTAAGAAGACAGAAGATAGCAATTAACATTGTATTTCAATTTTTGAAAATCAAAATTGACTGGAAAGTAAGAATCTGAAAGGGAGTTCCACAAGTGAGAATTGCAATAGAAGAAGCTGTTAGCATAGAACTTATGGTTACATCTAGCCATTTTAACTGTAAAATGATGAGACCTAGCTGCCAATCTAGTACCACTCTTAAATTCATAAAGTCGAGATACTAATGAGGAAAACTCATCAGAACAATGAAAATATTTAGAGAAAAGGCAGACAAGCTACATTACAGTGGTGGAAAAATGAGTGGAGCCAAGATGTCAGATCAGGACTGATAACATTGCAGGTTCTTCTTTGTCTTTTATCAAGAATCTCTAAATACATAGCAGAATCCCCAGATAAGATGTGGCAGCAATATTCAATGCATGGATGAATGGTCAACTTATAAATGTAAAGTTGATTTTATAAATATTTAATTTATGTGTCTAGTTTATTCACATCTTATTTTAATCTTTATTCAAAATGTATTTCAGTTTTCCTATTTGAATTTTCTGATGAATCTTAATTCTTAAGTTAATGATTGAATAAGCTCCTGATGATTTCTATGACAATAAAATATCTGTAGAAATTCTCCTATCATATTTATGCTTAACAACTCTAGTAAAATATTTCAATACTAATCATAAATATGAATGTTAGTCATTTTTTTTAAAAAGTGAATATAAATGAAAAAATTTGAAATTGACAACATTTTCCATTTCACTGAAACAGCTGTTAAACACTTCTGTCTTCCCTTCTTTCATTCATTTTCTCACTGAAACGAGGTCATGTCTGTGATGTTTTCTTTTTCCATGCAATCAAAATGGAATAGTCCATTATTTATAAGGCCTTGGTAGGAAACATTAATCACTTTTATCATCATTTCTTTCTTTCTTTAATTCTCTCACTGAAACCAAGTAGTGTCTTTTCAGTTCTTTCCATGCAAACAAAATGGAATAGTCCATTATTTATGAGGCATTGGTAGGAAACATTAATCACTTTTATCATCATTTCTTTCTTTCTTTAATTCTCTCACTGAAACCAAGTAGTGTCTTTTCAGTTCTTTCCATGCAAACAAAATGGAATAGTCCATTATTTATGAGGCATTGGTAGGAAACATTAATCACTTTTATCATCATTTCTTTCTTTCTTTAATTCTCTCACTGAAACCAAGTAGTGTCTTTTCAGTTCTTTCCATGCAATCAAAATGGAATAGTCCATTATTTATGAGGCCTTGGTAGGAAACATTAATCACTTTTATCATCATTTCTTTCTTTCTTTAATTCTCTCACTGAAACCAAGTAGTGTCTTTTCAGTTCTTTCCATGCAATCAAAACAGAATAGTCCATTATTTATGAGATATTGGCAGGGCATAATGATCATGTGAACTAATGAAGAGCATGTCAAACACAATTATAACAGGAAAATAATCAAAATATTAACCAAATAAACAACATTACCTCTTTGTTAATTAAATATTGACAATTCTTTTGGGTATTAATTTTGTTCTTTATGTTTTAAAATTGTGTAAGAAGAGACAAGTTTTTTTTATGGTTATTCCAAAACACTATTAATCTATACAATAAATGCGAATGTCAGTGCATCACTGTGTCACACTTTTTCAACTTTATTACTAGTGCACAATCAATTTTGAGTTCTTCTGTAGTTTATTATTGCCTGTTACATCTTCTACTTCCTACCTATTGTGATGAAGGCCCAATCAAGAGTTGTCTACATAAGTTTTAAGCTAGTTTTTAATATAAACCAACTCATAAGATGAGTCTTCATACAAAAAAATCTATAGTATAAAAGACAATCTGATTCTCTGTTCATCACACACTTTCTCCATGTAACTTTGCATGCACATATATAATGTATATGCATATGCCAGTGTTGTGTGTGGGTGATTTACATGTGCTTATGGCATTTAATGTACATACAAGCCTACACATATACATATATTCACACAAGATAACTGAGTTTGAAATGTCATTGGAAAAATACACACCACTCTCACTCAGTCTGGACAACCCCTACACTGAGCTGAGCAATAAAAACATAGGTGAAGACAAGAAAAAACTTAACTTTTGTAAAAATCACATAATTATAAGTTCTTTTTGAAAATTATTCAGTAATAAATTGAATTACTTCTTATTATATTTTTAATTCTGTAAAAATAATTTTATGTCAGTTATTGAGTTAAAATATACATGTGCATAAGCAAACATACTTGTACACAATTTGAATTAAATTGAAATAGACATCTGTGAAGATGGCTAATTTCCTTTTCTGATCAACAGGAAAAAGAATATAAGCCACAATATGTAACTCTTTGAAGTCATTTTTATGATTTCTGTATTTAAACTGAATATATTTTTTAAAAATCATTTCACTCCTGCTTGGTATGCCACTAGTATGTGAGGTATTATAGCAGTGGTTCCCAAACATTTTTTATCCGGGCCGCATTTTTGGAATAAAAATTTGCTCACGCATCACCAAAGGGAAGTCTCGGTGAAAAGGCACAAGCAGCCCTACAGCAAAGAAGTCCCAGAGAGAATGTTAAAGGGAGATAACGGTGCATTCAAAGTCAGAATATTATCATTGATAATTCTCACCTTCAATTTGCATACCCTAGTTACTATATTCTTAATACTTGATATAATGCAAAAATATCACAATAATAAAATCGGTCAATAATTATTTATAACTGTTTATACTGGGACTATGCTATTAGAAGTAACCCATAATAATATTTTAAATTTTGAAATCATATTTATTTTTGACATATGAATTTTTTAAAAGCATTTCTAAATCTCTGATTGTTTTTTAATCATTCTGCAACTTCTGCTGCACCTATAAGGCATGCTGTACCATCTGGGAACCACTGGGTTACATGGAATGAAAGTGAAAGAGAAGACTGAGAATAGGGAGGATTGAGAAAAGGACGTATTTTCTAATAAATGTAGTATTTTGATTTTATACCATTTGCATATGATATTGTAGTTATCACATACCGGCCTCATCTTTGTTGTTACTTTTATCACAACGTTTTTGGCTTCATCAGGTGTATATCAATAACCTGCAGAAAGATAATTTCAAACTGAACCTTTTATTTATTCTACAGGGGTAGATTGTTTTCATTCCACTGCCCATGTCTCAGTATATCTTGTCTAGTTCTTATTTTAATACTGCTCACTTATATCTCACCCTGTTCACATGAGTCCAAATACACTGCCCTGTCCAGGGATTGAAATCGCATTTACTATATCAACAAATTCATGCACCAACACTTTGATCCATGTGGGACAATTTTGTATGTAGAACTTGACAGCAGGTTTTCAAAAACAGCATTAGCAACATCAGCTGTAACAAAAGAGAAGCTTCTGTGAGTGCAGTCAATCATGACAAACAGTAGCAACAGAACTCAATAGCAGGCAGATTTGGTTCAAGCTTAGTGGGTTGGTTCGTGAATTTGGTAACATAGTTATTATGACTTCAATTGCTGCGTCAGTTAGTGCACTTGGATTCAGTGGATACAGGGCAAGTACTAAAATATGAAATAGCAGTAGAACAAAAGCAATCTACTCCAGAAGATTAAATAAACGGTTCAGTCCAAAATTCCCTGTAGGTTACCAGGATTGACATACAATGTTGTGATAAGATGTGGACAATAGTCTGCATGTAAATAATATAAATAATAACTCCCCATAGCAGAAATTCAGGCAGAAATATACTATTACTATTAAATCTATTTTAAATAGACAAACAAGATAGATTTTAAATTTGATCATCTTGCTGTCAGCGAAGTGACAGACACAGAACTAGATCTATTTCTCCTCTTCGTGTAAATATTGAGGGCTGCAAATTCTAAATGCTCTTAAGTAGAATCTGCTGATTATTCTGGATTTTATTTTGTTGTTATGATGGGAACAGAAATTTATTAGATTGTTTTTATTGGTTGATTTTTCAGTGGACACTAAGTTTTAAGCAACTGAGAGAGAGAGAGAGAGAGAGAGGTAGATGAACTTTCTTTGTTCCCACTTCTCAATATTAAATCCATAATTCTACATCAGCTGTTACTATCATGTGCTTGAGAAGAACCACTTTATGATCATAGTCTTGGGTATAACGATAAACTACATATGGCAGCAATGCTTCTGATCAGGAGATTGGAGGTTTTCAGAACCACCTATTAATTGCTATTGTTCCCAGGTGCACTCTGACCCGGGGTGGTAGCGCCTGTTAGGGTTTCAGTTATGGGCAAAAAGGTGAACCCCCAAACAAAAACAAACACTATGAAAATATAAAAATACATTTGTATTGTAAAATGACCAGCAATACATTTTCATGTAGAATTACCAACAATACATTTTACCTGTTCCTAAAGCCATAAAAATATGTACAAAATATTTAGATTTAGGTATTAAATATCCAATAGTGGTTGATATGCTGCTAAACAAAACCTACCAACTCAACAATCAACACGAAAGAACTTTTTCATGATATTAATCTATATAATATCCTACAATTTCTTAAAGATATCAAACTGTAGTTCAAAATATAACTTCAGCAAAGCTACAACATAAAGCACACATGTCCATACAAACATATATATACATAAAAGCTGAGTACCATTTACCATGTATTCAATTGTGAAAGCAGAATAACATATATCATATTTTTATTAATTCAAAGTCCCAAGAAAATTTTGTAGCTCGTCTGTCTTTTTATCACCACCCCCGTTCCACAATCCATTCATACAAGCTCATCAAGTCGGTGTGGTGAATCATACTTATTATAAAACCCAGGTTGTGTGTGTGAGTTTGTGTGTGTGTGTGTGTGTGTGTGTGTGTATGTTTATATATTGGATCAAATTTCCTACATTTTTCAACCAATTTCAACAAAACTTCACAGGACTACGTAAAATTACCTTGCGGTGGTTCTGACAGCGCCAAAAATAGGAAAAACACAATTGTTTTTGCACAAAATCAATTTGAAAACACGATTAAGAGGCATCGCTTTTGCGAAATGAAAGGGGGACAACTCATATCGAGTTATACTTATTATAAAACCCAGGTTGTGTGTGTGTGCGTGTTCGTTTATATATGGGATCGGATTTCCTACATTTTTCAACCGATTTCAACAAAACTTCACTTTTTTTTTTGGCAGGTAGTGTTTCTTATTGTCTTGAACACTTTTTTCTTTATTTTTACATTCAGAATGCTTTAAAAATTCCATTTACAAGACAATTGTTTATAATAACATTCTATTCAATCGGTTGACTCATAACGATTGAAAACAATGTTTTTGTTTGAGTTTGGGTTTGACCAATTCGTAAAACAAACAAAAAAACTAATTAAGACATGCGTGTCTGTCAACCTTAAACAATAATCTTTGTCAATTTTATTTTTCAGTCTTTATGATGGTGGATACTTGATCTATCTCTTACTGTTACATCCCCGGGCAACGCCGGGCTCTACTGCTAGTACAAAATAAAATACGAGCTTATGCGAAAAATTATTTTGACCAATAGAAAAAAGGATTGGCTCCGGGCTGAAGAAAAGACCAAGTCAATGTTTAACGAGCATATGTGAAAATTTATTTTGACCAATGAAAAAGGGAGCGGCTTTCAAACTGAGAAAAAAGTAAGGAGTTGATGTGTAATTGCTTTTTGGTGTAAATAGGCAGAGAAAGTTGGATCAAGAGAGAAATTAGGAGAAAAAGCAGAAAAGTCCAGAGTTCCACGCGTCTGAATAAGGCCAGTGTCAAATTATGCACTGAGTGATACATTATCAGCCTCTAGTGAGAGCAGGGGAATTTCAAAGAACTCTATTCAACTCCAAAGCTAAGTACCTTAAAATATATCTTTTCAATCCAATACAACCATAAAACTTTTATGTAAAAAACGAACTCTCTCAATTTGTTTTAAACGTTTTGGAATACAGTGTAACCCGGATATAAGAGAGTTGTCGGGACCGGAGAAGAAGTCTCTTATATCCGGGTTTCTCTTATATCCGGGTTTGGTCTATTTTACATACATTAACACAGGCTCTAATTTGGGACCAGAGAAAATCTCTCTTATATCCGGGTTACATTGTATTACTTTGTGTCCGATGATTTATGAACATTTTCTCTTCTTGACAATTCATCGAAACTACGAACTTTAAATATTTGATTCCTTTCCCTGAAACAAGCTACTGACAACTTAAAATATGTAAATTTGTAAATAAATTCCTTATCTTGTTTCGTTAAATATAACACAACACGTGTTTCCATGTCATTATCCCTCAATACTTCATCAGTAGGGTTGCCAGAGTAGAAAATAAGAAAATAGGGACACTCTTCTTAAAATTTCTTTCTTTCTCTCACTCCCTCTCTCTCTCTCTATCTCTCTTATGTAAATAAATTTATACATGCTTACACACACAGACTAATATATTATATTGTTGGGACTTTTGGTTCATTTAATTAATCAGAAGGATTTTGTTCGGATCGGTTGTGTGTCTAAAGTCCCAAACAAATATATAACAAACAAAAACGAGACATTTATAGATCGAAACAAATAAAAACATTTATATACAAAACATATTTACAAACAAGGTTAATATTTGTATTGTTGCGTGCGTTAATTGTATATTTTGAAATGTTGGATGTCTCTGTGTCGTTATGTTTGTTATTTTGTGTTTGTGTTGAAAATATAATAAAATTTTTTGAAAATTAAAGTAGTCTACCTTTGAACGTGTCTGTGTTTGTTTTCGTGATTCGTATTTCTGGTTTTTAGTAATGAATAAATCAATGTGCATATAAATATTGTATAAAGTTTCGATAGTTGTTCGTTGAGTGTTTCAGGTGAGTCAGTTGAAGTTCGTCAAAAATGCGCGGTAAAATTCTGTTTTTGAATGTCGTGGATTAATTAGGCAATCGATCGGCGAGTTCGCTAGACTGACTGACTGGGGTTGTCTTTTCTCCTTTTATAACCTTTGGGTTTTTCGAAAGTGGCTCAAGATATTTTGGCGCAATTCTTGCTTTGGGAGGCGATCTACCAATAGAATTGCTTGATTCGATTCTTTGCATTTTTATTGGTTGAGCGTTATCTGCGCGTAGGCGTATAATATGGATTATGCTTTTTTTTAAGGTTGGAGAAGGTTAGAAAATTAGAAGAGTCCACAATATTAAAAGCATAAAACAATGATTTTAATGAGGAAAATAAAAGTAAAATCATTTGAAAATTATTTAATACAAGCTAAGAAAAAGAACTTCTGGTTTGTACAATATATATATATATATATATATATATATATATATATATATTGTACAAACCAAATCTGTGCTACCAACAACGTCTTTATTAGACGAAGACTCTGGTCAGGTATGGGTGTGATAATCTTATTATTGCGGTTTATATCTGTCCCAAGGTCATTGTCACAGTTTAGCCAATCATCGGTCTCGGCCTCTAAGAAGTCATCTGGCACAGGACTTAGCTTTTGTACCGCAGTGTAGCAAATGTTCCTCTTATTTTATATGGGAGAACTTGCCTAATCCCGGGGATTTCAACCCTGCGGCAGTACCTTTCTCATTGCAGTAAGAGAGGTAGGGTCGGTGTTATATCGATGCCAGAGTGACATTGATCGCGGGGACTGAGCTAAACATTTTTTTGTCCTTGGTTCATATGCAATGCATATGTGTATGGCGCTCCTCACATAAAACGACCTTGTGACACCTCCTGCCTTAGTTGGGTGGCCGGGTAAATATACCTGATTTCTATTTCATCTGTCGGTAATTCTCAACGATTTCAGTGTACATCCTTTGATTTGATCGTGTCCCCTTCACTGTCACAGTCACAGTCACCAACACAAACTGTCATACCAATATCTTGTGATAGTCGACAACTTGCTACTGTCCATCTTTCACCGTCAAGCACTTTTTAATAATTTGCGACAATCCTTTGTCTGCACTGTCTTCTCCAACAACGACACGTAACACAATGAATCTCTGATAGAATGGCTGTAGAATTGAAATGATGTTCGGTGAGTAAAGCATTAACTTGACACTAGACTTGTCTGTTGTTGTCAGTCTTTCATTCTCTTTCATCCTTCGTTGTCAACAAGCATTAGTAGGGTAATCGTTAAAAAAAAATGAGATCAGGCGACAGGTACAAATTCTTTCAGAAACCAGAATTCAAAAATAAGAGTGTTGCAGACTGGTGAATGTATTTTTAGTTATCAGAAGGATTTATGATGTCGGTGTTCTTAAACATTCATCCACAACAAATTAAGAGGTAAAAGGAACATTGAAAACAAATCATGCAAGAAAATTCAGAATGAAGACAAACATAATTAAAAGTGCAACAATAACATTAATTTATCTTCAATTGACATATACAATTGGGTTGAATATTTTTGGATAAATGAGGATGGTTGAATTAGATTGTGTAGAGTATTTTTGTGACGTTTCAGCATATGTGAAACTGTTATTAAGATTTGTTCGTAAAATTAAACTAAGTAGTTGGTTATGTACAAAAATGTCCTTCGTGTGAGTTCAATCTATAATGTGTGTGCGTAAGTTTGTTTAAGTTATTGTTCAGAATTGGTAGGAGTTGTGTACCTTTAGTTGTTTAGCCGTTTGATTGATTGTCTACGAATACTTATTTAGTAGTGGGTAAATATCACTTTTTAAGTATTGTAAGTAATTGCTAGAAATTGTTCCTGAGAGAAAGTGTGGTTGTTGTTTGCTGAGTCAGAGAAGTTTGCGCGCTAAAAGGGTAGTTGGTCAAGGTTTTGACTTGCGTGGATTAGTTTGGCATCTCTCCAGTCTGACTGCTCGTATTTGCTTGAGTGTCGGTAATGTTCTTTAACGTCTGACCGTGTTGTCAAGACGGGAGCTCTCGAAGGTTACATTTTGGCAGTCTTGCTGCCAAAATGTAACACATGAGACGCAAGAGAGAGAGCTTACACGTGTTTTGTTTATATAAGGCTAGGTATCACGTGGCTCCGATCGAAGACGCGGGAAATATTCATCGCGTGCAGGCGATCTGATTGGTCGGAATAGGACCAATTAGCG